TCAAAATCAGGTGGTGAATTCCTGCTTCTAGGAGCTCTGTACGTACTAGGCGAGACCGGATCGAAGTCGCCGGGTACGTAAGCTTCATCTTGTTATTAGTGGCTCCGACAACAGCATAGCGACTCGCGTCGACGTGCACGGCAGCGAGCCAGACGTACGGCATCTTGACCTGCCCATGCGTTGACGCACCAAATCGAGGAAAACGTATACTGCCCGCCGTCTCCCACACAACACGTTCGACGCCGGAGCACGGGAACACACGGAAAGCAGTGAAGCAGAAATGCTTGCCGGTGCTCGGACGGCGAGATTTTTGGAACCCTCACGGACTTTTGCATGGGTCGCGCGCTTCCAGTGCCCCCGTGTGAATCACGCATGTGTGTGGACTGTGGACCAAACAGAAACAGGTAAGGGAGAGAAGGAGCTGCCACTGCCTACACACTAACGCACACGATCAAGATTAAAAGGCCAACTGGAAACGAGAAGGGATTTTTTCTCTCTCGAAAGATTCACCGGCTTTGGTTAATATTAAGGAGAAGGTAGCATACAATAGCGCTCTCTACCGTAGTAGGCTGCGTAGGTTTGGGTTTTACAAAGATTGATTACTCACTACAAAGTTGAGCTACTATTAGGGGTTTAAGGGTTGCCCCTCGTACTAAGGAGCAGCAGTAGCCAGTGTCCTTAATTGCTGATCTTCTACAGTCCCTGAGGATGAACACGTTCCTTTGCTTCCATTTCTGGAAAAAGCACGACCACATCCGCATCCATGTGTGGCCGCACCGGTTATCCTGGCCGTCCATTTCAGTACCCGGTCCCACTATAGGCCTGTGTAGATTGTCTTCATGCTTCACGGTTTCTGCTGAGGAGTGGATAAGCTGGTAGGGGTATTTTTGGTAGCGAAATGTTTTCTCTCTCAAATAATTGGATGTCTTTTTCATATATGTACTCTGCTTTCGCTTCTTCGTCATTCTACCTACGCTCTTCACTTTCCCTTGCTCTCTGGTCTACTGCTCCAGTTCACTTGGCTCACTTGCTCGCACTCAGTTGCGATTCCATCCTCACTGGACTCCATTTTTAGTGGAAGGGAATTGCCTCAATCATCTCTGCAATGGCTACGCTCCTATGCGCCTCCCCCACTTCAGCTTTTGCATACAGGTTGGTAGGCGAAGTGTTCTCCTTTTGAATCCCAGTTGAGAAGGCAACAATAACTTCAACTTTCGCATGCCCACGGTGTCTGATGGTCCTCATGTACATTTCCAACTTTACCCTTCCTCGTTGAATAGTACCCGGCTGAAAAGCTACGCCCGAATCCAGAAGCCTGGGACATTTCGACCTCTAGGATAGGGCGTGCGGCCACACACGAAAACGAAAAATCCACTCTCATACCACTTTCTCCTGCCCGTCTCTATCTTTCTTTCGCCTCCTCTCTTCCTACACTTATGTGATTTTAATCTTTCCTCTTTCCTAGCGTCAGTCAGGAAAATGAAATCTTTCAAAAAAAAGTGCTTAATCACCACGCATGATGCATGCAGAGACGAAATGCGCGGGGTACTGTGGATCATTCGAAATAATGTTTTGTGATTGACAAATACCAGTTAATCGAAAATGTTTCCGTATGTCTCGTTTATGGAGGCACGTCGTTATAATAAAGTAGAAACAAAAGGAAATGGTGATCCATACTTGCTGCGACAATTAATTTTTAATCAAGAGCTATATATGCAGTTCTTCGCTTGTCATGGATTTTTTTTTTGGCTAGGATCATGGCTGCCAGTCTGCCACTTAATTTTTAGAATTGACAATAATGTTCCTTTTGTGGCACCTTTTAATTGCCCAAGTGGTTACGATTGTCATAGCATGGTCTATACTTTGGTGTGGACCGATATTTCAAGAAGTTGAAGTCAAACTCGTTTTCCATTTATTAAAACAAAGCTAGCTTCTCTTTGCATTTCCTGTTTGATGCCATGGACATCTTTGCCCCCTGTCACTTTTGGCTCATAGGACGTTCATGCGTTTCAGTGTTGAACGTTTCAATGAAGTGTTTGCGACCGAGTTACCATTGACAGAAGTGACGAAACTTTTGGAGACTGCTCGCGGCTGCGACATGTCTTGTGGTATCAGGACGATTTGCCGGTAGTTCTCGGTAAACAAAGAAGACATGAGCCGGTGGAAACTGGAAACGTAGACTGCAGATACCGAACGAAAATGAAGGGGCGGTGCCGGCCGGACTGTCGGCGTCGGCACAAGAGATCATCACGTCGGCAGAGTGTGCTGTTAACGTTGCGCTGGACTTTCAGTGCTCTGGCAGCAGGTAGTAAAAGCGTGATTTCCGGTGAAGAAAATTGACTATTACCGGAAAGGCACAAGATAGAGGGAAGTGTAGATCCTGAAACGATTCTGTAACGTCTCACTTTGCACTGGTTCGGTGGCTTCGGAGAATAATGAAACGATTCTGTAACGTCATTCACTTGTCAGCCGGCTTATCAGCTAGAAGCTACAGTATTTTTCTCTCATAATAAAACAGTTTCAGCCGACTTTAATACCAGTCGAACAGGCCGGCTAAATATTGAGGTGGAGGAGAGAAGAGAGATGAGAGATGAGAAGCGAGCTGTAAGCTTATAGCCAATTTAGGCACAAGAACCAAGAAACTCTACGAAAGAGATAAGTGGGCCAAGTATTAACCGTAAAGAGCTAACTACTATATGAGTGGGCTGAGAGAATGCTGCAAAGAACCTTACAGCCAGCAAAACGGATGTATTATTAGCCTTGCTCTGACGTTACAAGCGTTGTTACCTACTTGGACGCAGAAAGAAGTATAATAAGAGGTTGTAAGTGAGTTGTAGGCTGAAGTGGAGGAGAGAGAAAAGAAGAGGGTTGTAAATTTATAGTCAGCTTATACACACGAATCAAGAAGTTTCATAAGACAAACAAGACGGTTGTAAGCCGACTAACCGTTATACGAGTGGGCTAATAGATTAACTACAGCCAACCGGTGGCTGTATTATTACCCTCCCTCTAAATAGATCTGATTTCATTTCGTGAAACTGCACACCAGAGTTGAGACTTGCGAGAAAGAAATCACGTTGGGAACACGCGCATGCGGCTTGCTCCATTCCACACCCGCTCTCCACGATGCAAAGTCCCGCATGGCAGCACATTAGGCATGACCGAAATCAAGCAATTTATACGTACCGTACTGAGTACCATGGCCGGACAAAAATATTTGGAAGATAGAGGGGTACTCTGTTTTTCTGGAAGCAGCAGCGACAGGGGCGCTGCAGGGGAGGGCGAGCCGAGCCTAAAGAAAGTATGTATGGGCCTAGTGCTAGCTGCCTAGCTCTCAGCAAGCGTGAGACGGCTGGAAGCCCATTTAAAGATATAAGAAACGGGGCCACGTCTGATAGAGGCCTAACGGAGACTTCTCGGCCCTGCCCAGCGACTGCGAACCGTGTTTTTGGGCAGGCTCCATGTTTCCTGGCTCGTTCTCCCTGAAAGTGTGGACCGGTGCCTTCTAGCCTGCTTAGACAGACCGAGGCATCCATCCCAATTACAGCCCAAGTCCAAACTCGCCAAACTCGCGAGCAAAAAGTCTATTTTATATTTTTATATACCTCCTATATAAACTATCATCGTAGTTTGAATTTTTCTCTTCAAACTCTAAAACCAGACATCTTACTCTCAACTCCATTTAAATTACCTTCTTATCTTGTTTTGAGAGAAGTTTTGTCCTTTTCTTGTTAAAAACTCTGGTAAATAATTGATAATGTTTTTAAACCACAAAAAATGTCTCCAACTTTCTAAATTTTTGAAAAAAATCATAAAGATACATTGGGATATTAATAATACAAATAAAATATTTAGAGCTCATGAAAATTTATATAAAGCTTGAGAATTTAGATTTAGCTCTAGAAAAAAAGAGAAAATATATAAAAAGAAATCTAGATTTTTTTCCAAAACATTCTAAAAGTGTATAAACATGTTTTAAAAACTTTGCATTGCAAAACATGAATACATTTATGTTATGCATTCATGCTAGTTGTGTCTTATCTTTTTGTTGCGGAAAGTTTTTAAAATATGTTTATACATCAGGTGGAATGTTCTGGAAATTTTATAGATTTTTAGGATATTTTTTATTTTCTTAGAGATAAATCTAACTTCTGGAAGCTTCTAAATGTATTTCATGAGCTCTAGATATTTTCTTTGGATTGGACATATCCAAATATATCTCTAGACTCTAGGATTTTTTTGGAATTTTTAAAGCTTAGAGACATTTTCTGTGGTTTAATAGCTTTATCAAGTATTTACCATATTTTTTAACTAAAAGAAGATAAAACTATCTTTAAAATCTTTTTGAAAATAGGGTAGGGAGATAATATATTTAGGCCTCATTCGGTTATCTAGGATTGATTCCCAGCCGAACCCTTTCTTTCACTAATTTGTACTACAGAAGTACTCCAGGCGCGGAACGGCCCGTACCGGAACAACCGAATGGGGCCTTAACTGGTTTTAAGAGTTTAGGCCGTAATATATCTAATTTTAATGTTTGAGGAGAAAAATCAGGCTACAATAATGTTTTAAGGAGGTATAAAATGGACTTTTTTTCCAACTCCCAACTTCTCCATCTTGTGCCCAACACGTTTAGGTCGTCAAGTTCCGTAATGCGCTGATGTTCCATTTGTGGTCCAGATGCTGCGACGACTACACGCTAGTAACGCTACGGTTCGAAAAATACCACCACGCCAACTGCTTGGCCACAAGCCCACAACGTGCGATTGCTGCTTCCTCTCAAGTATCGATCCATCTGATCTGATAGTCCAACTGATAGGCAACTCGCAACCTCTGCTATTGAAGTATCGATCCATCGCACGCACCAAACAGACTTCATAATCACAGTTTATAAAGAAGCGCCTGTTGCAAGCAAGAAATCCACGCAGGCAGCAGTGCAGCACCACGCGACTGCGCGCTCGATCAGGCGTCAGGTCAGTGATACGCTACCACCTACCGCCATGTCGCCGATGAGCAACCCCACCAGCTTCGATCACAGCTACGAGCTCCTTCTGCGGCGAAACCTCCTGCTTCTGCTCGACCTCCTCGGCCTCATCCGCTTCATCGCCGGGGTGCTCCTGGAACGCCTCGGCGTCGCGCCGTACCAGGGCGAGGTGCATCTGCCAGGACAGCCTTGGGGCGGAGAGCATGCCAGCGATGCCACTTTGGAACGCTTCCTGGAGGCGAGGTTGTGGGAGACCGGGACGCGGTCGCTCACGGCAACGCGGTACAGGCGGCGGCGGGTTGCGCAGCCGGCGGACGACAAGATGGCCGCAGAAGGCGACGCCGAGGGCGCGGCGGCCGTTTGCGCGATTTGCTTGGCGGGGCTGGAATCGGGAGGTTTCCAGACGGTCGTGGAGCTGTGCGGCTGCTCGCACGCGTTCCACGCCGCGTGCATCGATGCTTGGGTCGGCAGTGGCGACGATGCGGCAACCTGCCCGCTGTGCCGCGCGCCCATGTGGGACGACGACGGGCAGAGTTTGTCCCGCGCTCGCCCCGGTGGCTGAGGTCTCTGTCTCTGTCCCTTAATTTCACCGTGATACGATAGATAGATATAAACATACACGATCTTCTATATATATACTGGAAAGATGCAGTGTGCATGCATGTATTCGTGCCGATCGATCGTTTCCCTTGCACTACCAGAGCTGTGGCAGTGTTGGTGCAACTAAATCGGGGTGTGTTCGGTAGTGATCGGATTCTCGTATAAACGTTTCGTATTCAGATTCTCATAACAAACGTTTTAGGTGATGAATCACAACAACTTTGTAAAACCATTTGTCTGTTAAACTGGATTCTGATTCAACAAAAAATATTTTTAAGTAAAAATCATATAAATGAAAATATGCTTCAAAATTTTTTGAAACTTTTTGTAGGTGAAGAACAATTTAAATACAACTCATTTAAAGTTATTCCACTTAAAAAGGGTCAAAAAGGGTATCTGGGGCTAGAAACTTAATCGGGTGAAACCAGGGCTGAGCCATTTCACGTGTCTAATGTCAAAAGGAGAATCGTTTCTCCCGGATTCTGGAATGAAATTCGTTTGGCAATGATTCTTGTGTTCTGGATAAGAATCGGAACTGTTTCACCTTACCAAACGACCCCTCAGATCCATGCTATTTTCGAAATCGTGTAAAACTCTGATAAAATACCATTGAGACTGGCCTACTACATTTTGCTTCTTGCAAGACCCGGAATCGCACTAGTTTAAGCCAATCTGTATCCGATATGGTTTAATATACCGCTTATTCTACTGTTGTCCATCCTAGCTCCCACGGGATGGGACTTCATTGGTCTCTTCCAATCCTAGCAACCTTGATGGTTGTTTTATGCTAAACACCAAACAATACGTGCAACTGCCAGTGTACCATGGTATGACTCGGCTCCCGCACTGTTCTCATGTGCGGCGACTTGAGCGGCGCGACTAACCGATTGCCAGGCTCCTTCCTCCTGGAGTAGGATACCAGGGGCGTGTTTGGATGGCTACACGTAGCCAGCCTGCACGAGTGGATCTGTATAAACTTTGAAAGAAACATGTTTGGATGGATGGTTCCACTGTTGTTGCTTGCATCTACACATGCATTTGCATCCCCAGAGGCCAGAGCCCAGATCCTGCCTCCGCTCATGCGCTCAATTTGAGCTTCACTAGCGAGCCAAGCTCGATGGATGCCAGCTCATCTCTAGTTAATTACTCCAGTTTATACTAGTACTCCTATTAGCCAGACATGGTAAGTATGGTGTCAAAACTCAAAACGTGCACCATTATTATTTATTAGTATCTTTCATTTGAATTGGTCAGCGAACCATATATTAATTGAATTGAAGTAGGACCACTGGCCTGGGCATACCATATACTACTATATCGACGTACGTACACGGTTAGCCGGTTATCCATCGTCAACAACGCCGGTGCACCGGCACACTCGAGCTGCTCGCTGCGACGGCTACCAGACTCCGAAAGAGACCGGTAACCAGACAAAATCTTTGCGTTTTGTGCCTGCAACAAAAGGACGTGTTTTTTGGAATAAAAAAAAGGACGTGTTGTGCGTCATATACACTTATGCATATCAGAAACTGACATACAAATTGCATGACATTCATGGTAGTTCGTGGATTTATTTGTTGGTTAAAGTTCATTACTCAACCTTCAACTTGATGGTCGATTTTGAACCCTAAACCATAGGCGGACCCAGGGCCCGGCGACCCTGGGCCCTTGCCCGGGCTCCTCTCTTGGTAATACCTTGGAAGCCCAGTAGATGGCCCATTAGCTGAGCATGGATTGATTCGGCTGAGAACAGTGTACTAGGAGATCACAGCTTGCTCGCCCGGGCTGCTCCGTCTGCCTGGGTCCGCTACTGCCCTGAATTATGAAAACGGGTCACGGGTATCCTTCAACTGTAGAACAAGACAAATTTAGTCCTTTAGCTTGTTTCAAAGATGATTTTCTATTTTCTAAAAAACAATAATAAAAACCTAATATAATCTCTATAAATATAAATAATTTATTTGAAATCAAAATAAATATGAAACTAATAACTTTTTCCTAAAATGCTAACTTTGTTTTTCATATCTTTTATATACTATTGGTTGATCTGCAGGAAAATAATAATGAGAATGACATCGAGCAATAAAACAATAGAATAGAAATAAAGAAGTTCCAAATAACTCTAAATAAATCACCAGTAGATAGATAACAATTGAAAAAAATACTAGTTTCATATTTTCTTAATTAAATAAATTAGTTATAATTTTTTAGAGATTAAACTATATTCTTATTATTTTTTAGAAAATAGAAATCGCTTTTGAAACCAATTAGAGAACCAAAAGGTTTTGACAATAGAAGAACGTCCGATCACCCGTTTCATAGTTCTTGAAATTAAAATGCCATATATGTGAGTTGAAGGATGAGAAAATGATTTTATCCTTATTTTTGGATGCTATATAAGCAGCTTTGGACGCGGGGTGTTACATGCCCTCTCCTAGTTGCTGTTGTCTCCCCGCCGCGTAGCGTAGCCGCCGTCGCCGCCGGCCCATCGCCGATGCCGCTGCCTCTGGTGAACTCCACACGCCGATGAGTCTCCATTCTCGCAAGTAGCAAGAAGATGTTGCGGTGAAACCGCATGTTGCAAGCATATGTTTCAAGTATTTCAGATGTTTCAGAGAAATGTTGCAAGTGTTTAATATGGATGTTGCAAAAGGAGATTCGGATGTTGCATATGTTGCAATGGCTATACACGTATATTGCAAACCTTTGTTCCAAATGTTTCATCTGTTTTCCAGATATACGTTGCAAGTGTTTTATCTAGATGTTGCATATGTTCATACATATGTTGCAAGTGTTTTATCTAGATGTTGCATATATTTGCAAATGGCTTTCAAGTGTTTTATAAATGTTTCGGACGTATTTGCAAATGTTTCAGCTGTTTTGGGACGTATATTGCAATTATTTCATCTGAATGTTGTAAAAGTGAATTTGGTGTTGTACACGTTGCAATAAGACCCACATGCCGCAACCGCCTACTGCAGCTCCATGGGCGCCATGCATGTGCATGGGAAGCGGAGGGAAGGAGCGTGGCAGAGCGGCGGGCGCGGGAAGCGGAGGGGATGGCGACAGGGGCGCAGGCGGTCCCCACGTGAGGTGGGCAGCAGCTAGCAGGCGCGAGCATGGGCGGTCCCCGCCTGTGCGTGCAGGAGACGTGCTGCAGGCACGGGCGTCCGAACGCGGGACGTCCGGGCACTAGCCACGAAGTTTTCTCTGCCATGTAGAATAATTTTGAAAGAATTATTTCTTTGGTCTGAAAAAAGTTTGCCTTACTTTTTTGGCCCTTTTATTTTTGAACTTGCCTATTTGGTTCGAAAGATATTTTTAGTTCCTTATATGGCCCTTCCATTAGTTTTGAGGCTTAACGGTGTTAAGTCAAGGGTGAAATAACGGTTTTGCCCCTAGGTGAAAAAATGAATCAATGCAGAGTTCAATTTACTTGTGTTTAACTTTGGAAAATATTTTCCATGCTAAAAAATACATAAAATAAGGAGTATATTATTTGTAAATATGGAATAAATATGACAACCTTAAACCATGCAAAAAATTTCTTAAAATTAAACACAGACAAGCGGAACTTTGCATTTATTTATTTTTTTATCTAGGAGCAAAATCACCATTTATCCTTGAGTTAACACCGTTAAGTCCCAAAACTAACGGAAAGGCCATATAAGGAACTAAAGGTAGCTTTCTGGCTAAATAAGTAAGTTCAAAAATAAAAGAGCCAAGAAAGTAAGCCGAACATTTTTTAGGCCAAGAAAATAATTCTCTCAAGAGTTTTCAGTACTATCCATCAATGTGACAGCGATTATATTCAATTTCATTTGTGCTAATAATCACATGCAGGTATAGTTCGATGTCTATAGTGGATTCCTACTTGCTAGCTAGTCTCGCAAGATGTTGTATTGTTGTTAACTTTAGCGCTAATTAAACAACGGACACTATATCATATCTGTTGTAATGGTAAGCTTTCTTCTTCGCAAAAAAAAAATGTATGCTTCCTTTTTCTTTCACCGATCCACCAAATATTAGAGTTTATGGAGTCAAAGAAAAATCAATATATATCATAATGTATTCCAGGCTCCTGGCTTTTTTTTCCCTAGGCGACAGCCTTGCAGTCGGACGTGGATCAGACGTGATTCATCTTTAACCCTTTTTTTCACGAAAGAAGAATTATATTAAATTATAGCTGAGTACATCATCATGTTACAAACATACTCTGGAATACAGTACGTATACCCAAAAAAATATTCTTCATCTACATTATACTCATGCTTTGTATAGCTATAAATCTCAAACCCAAACATGTATGACGATTTGCATGGATGACCACACAAGTAAACACTTGGTAAAAGACCTGAGAACAGATGTCCAACGAACGACGGCTAATATTTCTGCAGGCAGAGTTGAGAAACTTCTTTTTTGTGGCTTCTTTCTTCTTTCTTCTGCACCAAAGAATAAAAAAACTAATATGAATCTTTCGAACTTAATATCAGTAATTGGCTTGAGTGGCGGATTTATTGTTACTAGTCCTTCATCATAGTCAAATCTAACCACAAGAAAACGGAGAAGAGACTAGAGAAAAAAAAATTCATGGTGCCAACATCATCTCCGTCTTGATGTTGGCATTTGGAAACCTAAGTCTACATGCCGTCATGTCGAGGAAGTTGTTGATAGCTGAAAGGTCCTAATGGCTAGAGGGGGGTGAATAGCCTATTAAAAATTTCTACAACAACACTTAACAAACTGGTTAGATAATTTTGAGGCAAAACAAGTGTTGCGCTAGCCTACTAAAATAGCAAGTCACCTACCACAATTCTAGTTTATATAGTTTCTATCCACACAATAGCTATGACACTACACTAAGTTAGTGTGCTCTCAAAAGCTAACTAAAAAGCTACACTAACCAAACTAACAAGCTCTCACAACTAGCTACACTAAAGAGCTTGACAACTAATTTGCGGT